CAGTATTTTCAAGATCTATCAGCAGGTAGATCTCATGCTCATTTCTCCATATCTTCTCAAAGTATAAAATTTATAATATTGTAAATTAAATGTTTTTCAATTACATGTTTTAAATATTTTATGTTAAAATATCTTTGCCCAGTTGGTGAACAAGCATTGGTTTGAATTTTATATTTCATTGAGTTCTAGTGAAACTGAAACTTTTTCATGTTTCAAATAAATATTGACCATTGGATTTATTACTCCAAGTGGTATCTTCATATAAGAAAACTGAGGTTCAGAGAGGCTAAATGACTTGGTCAAGGACACATAGCATGAGGGAAGCAGATAGAAAGATTTTTTTTTCCACATCCTCATATGAAGTGGAATTGTTCTTCAGTTTTCTGGGTAAGAATTAAAGCCTATGAGGGAAAGTTTGTTGGAGTCCAGTAGTTCAAAGACATCTAACTAGTAGTAAGTTTCTTCCAGCCAAATCACCTTTGTAAAATATTGCTTGGAGAATTATGAAGGTTTAATGATTAACAGTCCTTTTTTTTTATTTATAATTCCTAGATAAAGTAGGTCCAGACTGAGATTGGAAGATAAAGAGGAGATTGTTAAAAATAAGTGTCTGGATATGCTGACACTTCCCACACCATCAGTCATGGAATCTGCATCAGTGAAAAACTGAGGGAGACTCCAGTGCCTGCGACCTCCTCCACCAACCCAGCATGAGACGAAGCAACCAGCCACATCTATTTTATGACACTGTAGAACTATCAGCAGACTATTTCAAGAGACACTCGGAAGCCAATGCTTCACTCTTCATTTCCAAATGCCTTTTTTTATTTATAGAAGGCCAGGCCATCACCTGCTAGTTTAACCTTGTGTGACAAAGTCAAAGTCTCCTTTCTTTAATAACTAACTGGAGAATCCATGAGTCAACATTTTAAAAAAGGAAACAATAATACAGAAAACCCAAAGAGTTTCATGAATGTTGAGAAGGAAGAAGAGGAGAAAGAATATTAGCAAACTGCGATCAATAAATATTACCTGAAGGTTTGTTTGTATTAAGGAATATGAAGGACCTGAGAAAGGAAGACACTAACATTTGTTAGAGAAAAATAATCCTAGCATTTCTTCCTATTTGGCTCCAAGGTCTTATCCCAAGAGAGTGATTTTTTTTTCCTTCTCCAAGTTGGCAGTCAAGTGGCCCTTAGGTAGAGTTTAAGAGGGAAGTGGCTTTTAACTCTTGTCCAATCTAAGACCAACTGTGTCCACGACTTTTTTGGTCAAAAAAATAAAAAGAATAGAGTCCTCATAGTCTGCAACCTCCCTGCTCCCCAAAGGAATGTAGGCTAGTCACTTCACCTCTTGGTGCCTCAGCTTGCTCAGCTGTATGATGAGGATGATGAACCATAATATCTCAGCTGATTTTTCTAGAAGCCCCATGAGCCAGCTATTATTCCTACTTCACTGAGTTCTTGAGTTGACTAAAAGAATTAATGTGTGTAAAGTGCTTAGAACTATGGAAGTTCCTCATGAAACGAATAGAGATTCCATCTGACCCACCTATATGTCTTCTGGGTATCTTCTCAAAATAGTCAAAAGACATCACACTACAGACATACATGCATACCCTAGTTCAGGGACGGTGAACCTCTTAGAGCTTTCAATGATACAAACAGCCTGTTGTGACACGAGTGCCATAGGTTCACCACCACTGCCCTAATTTATAGCACCACAACTCACAATAGTTAAATCTTGGAAGCAGCTCACGTATCCATCAACAGATGAATGGATAAAGAAAATGTGATATATAGACACAATATGTATGACTTGGCCATAACAAAAGACAAAGTGGAATCATTTGTAGGAAACTGGATGTACCTTGAGACCATAACATTAAGTAAAATAAATCAGACCCAGAAAGTATTGCATGTATTTTCTTAAACCCAAACTATGCATAATTTAGAAGCAAAATAAAAGATACATAATATTACAGGGAATAATACCAGAGATTAAATGTGAACTATTATATCTCCCAACCTGTTAATTATATGATATACAGAATTCCTGTTCACTAGAAATTGAAGAATGAGTCCTACGAACAATGGAGGTTAAGACTAAGAAGATATTTATTGATAAGAAAGTTCCTGAGAGGCAGGAGGGGTCCCGAGTGGGTAGCCCGGAGATCCCCACTTTACAGAGGAGTTTTATAGGGTGAAACACACGTGAGTAGAATGTGGGCCAAAGCCGTGATCGTCCAATAAGGTTACAAGTATACTCACTTAGGTAACGGTGGTCCAATTGGGAAACAAGTCATGTAATAAGCATGGATGGAAAGAACAAAGATTCTCCTAGGAAGTGGTAGGTCCAGAGGCCTCTGGTCACCCACCGGGGTGACTGATGTCTCTCTAGACTTTGTTAGGCCCAGTGTTTGTTCTTTGAGGAAGTATACAGCTCTGGTCATTTTGTCTTTATCTTGAGGCCTAGTTTTCAGCCGATGCATCTCTGGTCACCACTGTGGTGTGTTTCACCTTTGTCCTGATCCTCTTGAGGGCCTAGCCCTATTTGACTGCCTATAATATTTCTACCTAGCTCATCTATCTTAATAATAGGAAACAGGAAGATAGACTTTTTGGAGATGTGATGGGGATCTAGGGACTGGGAAAGACAGGAGACAGGAGGGGAAGGAGAAGTAGTAAAATATGTACCAATTCCCAGGATGAATGTATTTATTGTGTATTGCAAACATAGACTAATAAGGGAAGAAAAATAATAAATGAATTCTCATCACTGTTTAAAAAGAAAACAATGCTGACAAATAAGTGCTCTGTATTTGCTTATTTTTAAATACACCATCCAAAATGGAGCTGCCACGTAGCAATGGCATAAACAGTCTACAACTTGGTTCTGGGAAGCTTTATTACTTCAAAATATGTGTATATATTGGGACCTCATTAATATTTTTATCGAAGTATTTCAAACTTGATACAAATGAGCTTAAAATGAATGTGTACTCTAACAGGCCTTAGGCGTGAAAGTACAAGCACTTCTGAAGAGTGCTTACTCTTGACCAATATGCAAGGGCTCTAGCGGGCCAGCAGCTGTTCAGGCTGTGTTCACCACAGGTGTGCTACAAGCCACAGGGATTTAGAAGATGCGTGCCTAGGGCAACACCAAGTAAAACCAGTGATAAGACTTGTGGGCCAGATGCCATTTTATGCCTTATGCACACATTATGATACAATTCTTATAATGCCCCATGTGGTAAAGATAATGTGTGTCCCATTTTACAGATGAAGAAACTGAGACGTCAAAATTGTAAGCAATGTGTCTACGGTCACTTAGCCAGCAAGTGTTGCTGCTGGGATTTAAACCTAAATTCTAACTCCAGAACTCAGGTGTGATTGTCAGACTACATCTCAAAAAGTTGTGAGATGTACAAAGTTCCTCCTAGCTCTTTCCACTTTTCTCTCTCTTCAGGACTTGTTTATTTTATACATACAGCCCCACCAGCAACTGTAATGATCCTGGGTATTTTTACAGTAGACACTTTGAAAACACAGAAAGCTAGAAAGGGGAAAGATTCAAATAAGATGACTATTGTTTATTTAAATTTGGGTGCATTTCTATGTCTTTTTTTAAGTACATGGTTCAGTATATATGCTTATGTACCAGTAATCAAATTATATATACAATTTTAATCTTTTTTTTTTGCTCATATCCCACAGGATTAAAAAACTTCACGAATTCTCTTTAGACTGAATAATGTACAGCCGCACAGTAATCCCATAATATATTTACTAATCCTCTCAGTTTGGACATTTGAGTTTTTTCAGCTTTTACTGTGGAATTTATCTTTCTCTTTATTGCCAGTTTCTCCTGACATGTCTTCAGAGCTCCCTCAGACATTCAATGATCTCAGTACCTTTTCTTTCCTTCTAAGTTTACTTCCTCACTTCCTGATTAACGCGTTAGTATAAGTGTAGATGTCTGATTAAAGCTTAACTTACTATCTTTTAAAGGGCACGTTTATCAGTTTAAGACAACGGAAGGACTCTTGAACTGTGGGGTACAAGTTATCAGATAATCTAGTCTGGGGCATTACACCAACCCCCAACTAAAGAACGTTAAAGGGCTGGCTTAATTTTAGGAAAGCTGCTAAGAAGACAACATAGAGCTGCGGAGATCATGTGCTATAAGAGAGGGAAAAAGTTTATATGAAGGTGAAAAAATTGGGTAGAAAATTCACTTGGCAGAGAGAAGTGTATTTGGTACCACTAACTTCAGGTCCCCACCTCTTCTTTCTAATGTATTTGGCCTTAGGGAGGGGCCAGCCCACCTTCCCAGCACAGCCTTGTCTGGTTCTCAGTCCTAATTTCTCTACCAAGTGGCGGCCCAGAGCAAGTCACCAGGAGCGGAAATAAAGTTGTGAGAGGAACCATCCTCCTCTGTCACAAGCAGATCCTGTTGGGGCCTCAGGTCCCGCAACACAAAGAGGAGAATAAACAACTCCTGTGGGGCAATTGGAGCCCAGTGTGTCCGTTCCCAAAGCCCGTTCTGCCTCCAGCGCTCTTTCTCGTCCTTCTCCCAGACCCTTCAGGCTTTCGTGGATGCTGGCAAATCACAGCCTCCGCGTAGGGGAGCAAGAGACCTGCTTCCCCCAACTCAAAACCTGTCCTCGCTCTCGTGGGCATCGCGCTTTCGCGGTGCCCGCCTGGGGAAGGCTGTAGTGCCTGAGAGGCAGGAGCGGTGGCTCCGCGCCCTCTGGGTTAGGGGCGGGAGGAAACCCTAAATCCCGAGACCTGGCAGGGCGAGTGGGAGATGAGACCCGTCGCAGCATAAGGCTGAGAGGGGCGGGCCGCAGGATTCCCGCAGAGGCCGCTCTAGTGCCGCCGCAGCGCCGGGGGCCATCCCACGCCCGCCCCGCGGGACCCCGGGCGCCCCCGCGCACCCTCCGCCGGCCCGGCCGCGCTCCTCCCTCCCGCCTCGCTGGTTGGCCCGGGCGCCGCAGAACGCGGCAGCAGGAGGAGCCGGGCGCGCCCGCCACGCAAAACCACCGCGCTAGCTAGGTGGCGGGCGCGGTGCGCGGTCCCAGCGGCGGTGAGAGTGACAGCGACAGCGGCCGCGGCGGCGTTCGGTGCTCACCCGCGTTCGGTGCGCACCCTCTCCCGGCGCACCGGCATCCCGCTGCCTCCGCGCCACCGAGCCGCCCGCGGTCCCCGGGTCCCCGGCTCACGCGCGCACGCCCGAACCCCGCGCCCAATAGCTGCGGCCGGGGCCGCGGCTCCGACCTGGGGAGCCAGCCATGGGGAAGCCGGCGAAGGTGGGCTGTGACTGGAAGCGCTTCGTGACGAAGAACTGGCTGCTGCTGTCCACCGTGGCCGCAGTGGTGCTAGGTGAGCGGCGCCGCGGTTGCGGGTGGGCGAGGCGCGCGGCGGCGCCAGGCCGCGTGCGGGCGCCAGGGTGGGCACCGCGCTGCGCGCGTCGCCTTCGGCCTCACACCCCGCGGAGGGTTCCCTTCGGAAAGCTGGTTTCTGCGAGCGGAGAACAAAGCTCCTGCGCTCGGGGACTCCCCTGTGGGTGTCCCACGAGCTGTCCCTGCTTCACCCCACCTGATCTGAGGGGCTTGGAAGCTGGGGAAGAACGCAAGTAGCCCTCGGAGGTGACCCTTTGTAACCAAGCAGGGTTTAATTTTTTTTATTCAACCCTACCTGTTCCGTCATTCGCCTTTTTGCCCCTGAACCGCGGTGCCCCGACATTAAGTGGTATGAATTGCAGACACTGGTGGCCCTAGAAGGAGCACTTCGACCTCGGGATGCCTGGGCCCCCTCAGCGGATAAAGCCCGGGAATGTTGCCGCCCGTCCCCCAGGCGGGCGCCTGCTGCTCGTACCTGGGGTCTGATTAGAGCTGGAAATCAAGGGAGCTCAGCTGTGGGAGGTCGAAAAAGAAGAGGACTCAGCTCCCCCCTCCCCCTTTCTGGGTTACCTTCCTCTCTCCATGTGTTCCTCTATTAAAAATAATTGTAAGCCATTTTTACTTGTTTTTAAACAAGGGTGTATTTAAGTAGTTCACTCCTGACAGATCGCTGGATTAGGTGGGTGTCTGAGCCATTGCTCAGAAGCATGAGTTCTTTGTAGTTAGATTCTGCGTTTCCACCAAGGTTACCTGTTTGCTAAAGTGAGCTCTGGGATGAGCTTCTTTGGAATTGGTGCCATTTCTGTCTCCTTGCCCTAGGAGCTTGCACCGGTGGGGACACCCAGAAGGTGAAGGCTGGTGCACCCTCTGGGAAAGGTGGATTCCACGGCAGGCCCCACCCTCTTTTGCAAATGCAGCTGGGAAGGCAGGTGGGGGGACAGCCTGTGTTCCCCTCCTGACCTCCTCACTTTCCTCTCCAGCAGCTGCTTCTGAACCTGAAAATATTTGGCCTTGTCTGCTCCCCTCGTAATGCTCTCCCCCAACCCCCGCCTACACAAAAGTCTTTGGAACTTAATGGGATCCTTGGAGTCAGATTGACTCCTCCAGAACTTTATGCAAAGAAAAGTCAGGTTTCTAGTAAATAAATAACATCCTGGAATTGCCTTAGCAGAGGACATTTTTGTGGGAGGAAAGGAGTAGAGAAGCGTGTGTTGGCTCTTCTCCCCAGGAAGTGTTAAATGTTTGGGGGACATTTTTAGGGGAGGTTTATCCTGTCCCACCACATATAAATAGCACAAAAGAGTGATTTGATTTCCTTTCAGCCCAATGAACCAATGGCCTTGTTTGTTTTCCAAGTGATAAGTCCAGTATTACTAAATCCTTGTGTCAAGACTTTTGGGGGATGACCTTAGGCATGTGTCTCCCTCCCAGCTCCCTGTGGTAGTGCACTGGTCTTGACTTTTCGGCTCTGGGCTCTCCAGAGGTACTCACCTGTTGACCAGTAGACAGTGTGCCCACTCATTAGAGGTGGGCTGGGAAAGGACTTTGAACAGTTGTTTCCTGGCATTTGGAACCACTTGCCTAAATACACCTTCAAGGTCAAGAGGGACTTCATGCTCATTTGGCAGACATGGACTTTGGTCGCAGGTGTGCCTTTCCCCAATTCTAATGCAGGTGAGCTCCAAGAGCCTGACTCTGTTTTGGGTTTTTTGTTTGTTTGTTTGGTTTTCTCCATAAAGGAAATCCTCCATTTAAAAATTGTGAGTACCCAACTGAAGTGTTGCATATTTGTTTCTCCAGACCAGGACACAGGACAATCCCTCAATGTGTTTCTGCTTCTGGTCTGAGAAGTCTTAATCCTAGATCATCCCCAGGTCATCATCCCAGCCTCCTCTTCCTTTTTCCTTGACACATGCTGGGCCTGAGGAAAAAGAATCATAACCCTTTGTGTAGTCTGTACTGGCCCACTTGTTTAACAAGCAGTGAGACTCCAGCTTATGCTACCACTGAGTATTCATAAGCCCCTGGGAAGTCAAAATAGTAAGGGATTATTTTATAATTGCCTTAATTGGCCCAGAAAAATTGCAAAATCATCACATGCAGGCTCCTTCTGGACTTTTCAGCATGTGAATCTTAAAGAAGAAAAAACTGTTAAATTTATTAAATGCCCTGGTGAAGTGTCATCTTCTGATCACAGCCATTGAAATGTTTGATCCCTGCTCTAATTCAGCAGCTCTGGCTGTAAAATATTTCAGTTATTGACATGAAGGGGAAAGATTTTTTTTTTTTAATGAGCCTGCCTAAAATCTGATTTTCCAAAGTAGAGCTCATGAGGGGAAAATGCAAGGGAACTTTTTTCATAGACCAGAAGATGTTACGAGCTAAATGTTTCTCAAATTCTTACAAGGTAAAGGGATTAAGTAGTTATGTTGCCATCCTTGTTGATTTCTATAAGATCTTAAAAATAATAGCGTGGGTTTTAGAAGCTGTTCCTAAAATACTATAAGGATCATTTTTATTACTTTCATTGTAATTCTTACAGGTGTTCCCTTTTCTGTAGAATGAGCACAGAGCCTGGAGTTGGGAGTCCTAGTCCTGAATTCTGGCATTGCCAAGCTCTGCTATCTAGATAAATTGTTTATTCTCTGGGCCTCATCTGGAAAATGGGAATATTTATTATTAGGGTTGGTTAAAATAATGTGAAAATGCCTAATTCTGTGGTTGGCATAATATAGGTGCTCAATAAATGTTATTTTAAGGTAAACCTGACTAGTTTGATTATGAGAAAATTAATTATTATATGAAATAAAGTCTCTGCTGCTGTCTCTCTTTCTTCTACTTCATGTCCAGCCTGTAATTTATATCTCAGGGTAATTCAGGTGTTTTGATGACATGTTCTGTCTAAACCAACACCAGCCTCTGTAACATTCTTTTTTCTTTTTTTTTACTGAAATGGAGGGAATTCATCATTTTATTTTGTGCTCTGCAGCCTAATTCTCAATTCATTTAACAGGCAAAAATTCTGAGGAGAAGAAATGGAGTTTTTTGTTTGTTTGTTTGTTTGTATATTTTGTTTTGTTTTAAGGAAAGAAATCTTGAACTCTGAGAATTCTAGTCCAAGTCACCAACAATGATCTATGGTTTACAGTGTTGGGGAGCAATTTGTGTCCTCACCCTACTTACAACTTACAGCCTCATCTTCTTCTTTAGTCTGTTTATATGTCATTTCAGTCGTTTCAAAAACCTGTGATTTCAAGTTTAGGGATCTTCAGAAAAAGGCAGTAGGTATTGTTTGTGCAATGGACCTGGGATCCATCCTCATTTGAAATAATTTCCTTAGAAGTGTGAAGGAAGCAATCACTGTTAGATTCTAATTCCACTTATCTAACATCTGAAAAAGTCTTTCATGTTCTTAGTAATATTCTTGCTTAGGCTTGAGTCTCCCACCCTGGGGCTCTGTTGCACATACCTGGCAGTGTTCATTTGAGACTTGATGCTTGCTTTCTCCCTCTGTCTGCTTCTCTGTCAGTCTGTGAAGCTCCTGCGGATGGACCAGGTGAGCAGCTCAAGCTGTGGTTCCAGGCCCAGCTCTTCCCCCCATCCTTTGCTCAGCAGTATTTAGGATCATTCCTGCAGGTACCAACACTTTCATCATTCAGGTATCTAACAAAATTGTAGTGGGCACCAGTTTCCCCGAAGGCTCCTCAACCTCAGCATGTCCACAATGAAATACACTACGTTCTTTTCCAAGATGGTGCTCCTTCTGGGACTCCCTATCCAACTAGAGATCACCACCGCCTTCTCCACTAACCCAAATTTCACTATGCCCTGAGGGTTAACTTGCTGAACACCACTCCTCAATCCTGTACCTTCCACTCCCACTGCAAGCTGCTTAGCTGATCGCTACACCCCTTGCCTAGATCTTGGATTTGGCCCATCCTGTTGTTCTGCACACATCTTACTCACTTCATCTCACCCTACTCTCTCCTTCTCTCACTCCCTTGCTTCATATCAGCTGAATCAGGATGCTTCCCCCACATAAAAGGGATGATCAAATATACAGTGATTTTGCACATGGAAAGGGAACAAATGGAGGGAGGAAAGAAGAGGAAGTAAAATAGATTAAGATGTGTTATGTAAATGTACTAACTCCCCACAGTGAATGCAATCATTATGTTCTGCAAACATGTCCTGATAAAAAAATTTTTAAATGGTTTAAGAGCAAAGTAAAACAAAACAAAAATTACTTCTGGGGGTCAGGGAACTATGATGATTATTGTTTTATTTACATGATGTGTATGCTTATTGACATTTCTCTTAGGAATTACTTTGTTGACATCTCAGAAATATCTTCCCTTGTTCCTTACAGGTGGTTAGAGGCCTTAATCATAACAGAATCTAAGTCCGTCTCAGTAAAACAACCAGAGTAAAAATAAAGAGCAAAGTAAAAGATAGATAGTAGAAAGTAGGGATAGATAGATCATTCTCAAAGGGAAAGGGAATCAAGAAATGGAAGAAGACGAGGGAGAAGGAAGGGAATGAAAAAAGGAATTAAGTTGTGCTATGTACATGTACCATGCACACACAAGGAATGTAAACACTATGTACTACACAAATGTACTAATAAACTAAAAAAAAAGGTCTCAGCTCAAGGAGGGAGGTTCTTTAAAGAATGCTCCCCTTTTTGATACCATTGGGTGTAGGCCATGGAACTCAGAAATGCTGCCTGCTTTGTTTTGGAAATGGATGGCCAGGTGGCCAGGTAATGAAGAAGGAATATATATAATGCTTAACCTTAAAATGTCATGGTGCTCTGTAGGATTGCTTTAGGTCTGAGACCTAACAAATTATTATAAATGTATTACACATTGAAAAAAATACAGTGAAATGTTTAAATTTTAAAAAATTTTATTACCGTAAAAGACACATTCAATATATTCAAAATATTCATCCTCATTTTGACACACTTATCCCATCATT